ACAGAGGTAGGGGGTTGATAACTAACTTCCAATTTCCTGTGTGGGGGAGTTATGGATGTTTCCTGGAATGACCCAATATCAGTTACAGCCAATCATGTAATAATAATCATGTGGAGTAAGAAATCAACTTATCAGAATCGAGAAGAAATTTTAATGCTCTGTCATGCCTCATTCAGATGCAAACCATCCTAACTATTTAATGATTATTTATAAGCTGTGTTGACTTGAGTTGAATCAGGGCAGTCGAGTCATTTTCCATATTGGAAGCAATCAAGTCCTTGAAAATAGCAACTAGAGTGCCAAGTAAATTACTCCAAAGTCCAAGTCACTTAAGTCTTAATGACTCAATAAATTAATATGACAAACATTGCAACCAGCGGCAGATTACCAGTTAAGCGGCTTGTACTATAGGCTGGGTAAAATTCGCGGGTCTTGAGGACAGGACCATAGCTACCGGTGTATATATTCATATATTCATGTTTGACACTGTTCACATACCGTAAAAACAATTGCTTTCAAAAAAAATCCATTGAGCAGAACACAAATTTATTATGCAACCCCCCCAATTAGCGGTCTAGCTATGGCCCTGCTTGAGGATGATATTCCCACACAAGTTCTGCTGATTTAGACAATGATAATGAATGTGTGTACATGCAACATTAGGCTCATAAACATCTGGATCCTTGGAATTCACTTAAGCTCAGCTTCTTGTCGATGTTAGCATGAATTTTTATTGAGGTCAGCGGAAAAAATCCACTAAATATGGCAGTACTTCATGAATGGTGGACATTGCACAGTCTAGCTGTTACAGTTGAGGCAGGATCTCACTTAGCTGCATGGGCCAATTCAGGCCTGGCCGTAAGTATTTGGGCAGGCGCGCGGCATATCGCGCGCCATATTAACGTCAGGCGCGCGATTAAAAAAACGGTAAAAATTACGCTTATTGGCTATACAGACTAGAATAACATTCACAAAACTAAGTAAAAATTTATGTAGAACAAAGCAATTTTAAAATTGGAGTTTAAACGAAATTAGTATAGGTACTATATAAAATGTTTGTAGTACGTGTATTTACGATGTTTTCAAAGTCATCGTACTTTAAACATCAATGAAAATGTCAACATCGCTGTCCTATGACTCGATTTCCGACAAGCTTGACGAATCATCGTTATCGTCAATGGTTATGGCGTCTTTCTCAATTATACGCTTTTTTAACGGAGTTTCTTCATCCACGGTGTTGCTGTCGAGTTTGACTTTGCGTCTTTTCTCCATGTAAAATTCTAATGCACGTTGAAGAATCTCCATAGTACAATCTTTCGCCGACCAGCAGTTATCAATTCCTTTGATCGGCATTAAATCAGTCATTCTTTTATAACTAGTCTAAATGGCGAGGATTTGTTCCGGCAAAAATTCATTTTGAATAAAAAACCAGACGCGCGATTTCATACTCTTAAAATAAACGAGGCGCGCGTTAAAAAGCGTGTCTCAAGGAGTCAAGGCGCGTGCGGAGGCGCGCGCGCCTCAAACGGCCAGGCCTGCCAATTCTGTGCCCAGGTAATTTTTACTGGACTGGGAATTTCCCATATAAACGCAATGACCCAGGCTGGCTAATTGGCCATGCAAACTCTGCATGTTATTGCTCTGCATGTGCGAATATATTATTGTAATTATAAGATATTATTCATAGATTTCGATCTTAAATGGCTTGGTTGTGAACAAGTCTATGGATTAATTATTACTGTGAAAGTTACTCTGGCCCAAAAGTGCAAATCTCAAGTTCATGAGAAAATACATAAATTTATATTACTGTACCGGTATACTATTTATAGCGGGGAGACCAGTGGTTTGTTTCGGCGAGCCAGCCAACCTCAAAAGCCTTGCGTAAACACAGGAAGAAATCAACTTGGCACACACTCCAGTTATAAACAGTACTTACTGCATGACCACAACATTGCCCTGGTTAAATACCCTAGCTCATTAGTTATAACATTCAGTACCTGCATGTGCTCTCCCCTTGACAAGAAATGATCTGCATTAGACAGAATAAAATAATAATTATTATAAGTAGGGAGAATTATGGCACAATGCAATTAACTTAACAGGTTGTCTTTAAACACATGGACAGATAGTCTGAATTAACCCATTGAGCATCAGTGGCACCAGCACTCTCAACTTGACAAGTTATATATCCCTTACAAAAAAAGTTATAGGCTTGGCCTATAGGCCTACCTATAGGTTCCTATAGGAAACCTATAGGTTTTTATAGGCAATTGGAACATTTTCTATAGGTGACCTATAGGGATGCCTATAATCCTATAGAGCTCTATAGGGAATTGGCTTCTATAAGGAATTGGAACATTTCCTATAGGCCACCTATAGACTTTTTTCATAAGGGCTGTAGTCTGGTGTCATAGACAAAGTATAAAATGTAAAATAATAAAGCTGGGTGCAGATCGATGGTAATTTGGTTAAGCTTGTAAATACATCCTAGGACCAACACTACATCAGTTTCGAACCGAATATCTCAGTGATAATGCTGCCTGTCTTATAGTAACATATTGCAAACTTAATTGACTGTACAGTATGTATGAGCATTGAGCACTAGCTATATTTCAATGCAAATATGAAACACCAGCAAAATATAAGAAAACTTCGATATGCTTCAAGTTCTGGCCTTTGTCTAGTAAATTAGTGCCTACTATAGCTACCAACTTCCAGACGAAGAGCACTAAAGTTTGCAGTTTGTAATTTTTTTAGAATGTTTGCTACCTACATTGGCACCCAACCTCGCACCCAACGAACAAACAACATTTGTGAGTTTCAACAAAAGCACTTTTGTTCAGATTTTGTAAATACTTACGAGTCGTCAAAATATACCAATCTCTGGCTTTTCAAGCATCTCCTTCCATATAACACTGTGTCTCTATGACTGTGTTGATGAGCAAATGTTCTATCCTCAATTCAAAATTCCAAGAAATAGAAACGTCTTCACTTGATACCATAGAATAAGAAATTTGATACACTTCCCGCCAAACGTTGCGTGTTGCCCACGCAAAATCACACGCACGTTCTCAAATTCATACATTTATCCTTAAATACGGGAATTCAGCACTGTTTTATTATTAAAAGTCCTTTTTCAAGGAAAATCAAATTGCACAGTCTTCAAGTTACTTTTCTTCTTTTCGCATTTTAATTTTCAAAGTTATAAATTCATATGAGACTAAACAACTCTGGACAGTTTTAGTGTTTTACAGTCATCACATTCACTGATTCACATTCATAAAAATGACAGAAATTTGAGGAAATTTCGAGAAACACAAGGAATTTTAAGGTTTTAGAAAGGGAATTCTCGAGGCTTGGAACAACAGAATAAATTAAATTGACTTACGGTCACGGAATATTTCAAAAAGCTGCTTTGTTGAACTGTGAAATCCCAAAATATAAGAGGTTTGTCAAAAAATATTACTTATATTTACAATCAGATGGCTAGTTGACATGATGGAATTTATAACAGATACAAAACTACTGAATAAGAGTGTTTTATCCGTGGGTTATATGTTTGTGAGTGTTTTTATATGGACACATGCATGGTCACATGGACAGGAGTCACAGGACAGTACCCTGCTGGCAGTGGTTTGGGGACAGGCATGATGGCAAAATTATATATATTTGTCATTTATGATGGTAAGCAAATGATATGGTAATTGTTTTCATTATATGTATTTGCCACCAAACACAAGTTCAATTCTTTATATGAACAGAACAATATAGTCACTTTTCTTTCATATGGCATGTATGTCTTCTGTGTGGCTTTATATATGAAGGTCGCAGGTTCAAAACCAAGCCGCGACAGGCAATATCTTTCTGCTTGTGCGCAGTGTGGAAATTATGAAATACACACTCTAGAACATTTTCAATATATACATATACTGAAGTCCTGCTTACACTAGTATGCTGGTCATATGACAGACAACAAAGTTGTACAGTTTTTTGCATGTTAATTGTTACGTCATTTGCATTTACACTGCAGAGGGTCTTAATGGGGGTCTTTGGGTGTCAGTTGTCAGCTAAAATTTAAGCCAGTTGTCAGTGCGATATATTGCAAGCTGTCAGTAGTCAGTTACTGCAAAATGCTGACTTATAATTTTTTTCATCAATTCTCAGTAGTCAGTTAGAATATTTTGTCAGTTGTCAGTCAAAAATTCAGGCAAATATCAGTAGTCAGTTAACCCCATTCAGACCCTCACTGTAGGGCCACATAAAAAAATTAAATTACTTGTTTAGTGTCCCCGCCCGACCTGATAAAAGTCCCCGACCTCCAATTTTATTTTTTTTTTAATTCGTCCAAGTTTAGTGCAAAAACTCTATAAAAAAGACCGTTTTACTTGAAAAAATGGTGATATTATTCTTCTGGGAGCTATGTAATACGATTACACAAAGTAGTTCCTACCCAGAATATGCCTGTTCGCAGCTAAAGTGTTCGCACGTGACAGCGAAACAGTAATTTTCTGTTTTATTAAAAACATGAACGGTATTAAAAAACATGAACAGATTTTGAAAGAATTAAAGTGAGTTTTGATTGTGGTAATATACTGGATTTCCTGCATTTAGCAGAATTTTGTGTTGCATTTTACGAAAAAAAAAACAACTCGCCCGACCTAGAAAAATTAAAATGGGTGGACGCTAAACAAGTAATTTTTTTATGTGGCCTAGTGGTGTGTAGGTGGTGTATGAGGGAGCCTTAAGTGCCCACTCTCCTCAGCAGTCTGCAATGCTACTACCCCCATTAGGTGTGCACCCCCCCCCTGTTGTAAGTACTGATAGATATTAAAGAGCAGTGTGGGAAAATGTCTGGCAGTGCCAGCAGCATTGCTGCCAGGAAATTTTTAACAAAATATCTTTGCAGTAAATTTTCTTGGGCCAAATAAAAATTAATAGTTGGTTTCAGGTTTCACAGTCATGTTTTGTATGGGTAGGTAGGTCGGAAAAATATTTTATTTAAAAAAATATTTTATCTCAAGTATGCAATAAATATAAGTTCATGTTTATGAGTAACTGTCACGCGTGATCAAACATGCCACGCGGGATCACCCACGAGCTACTTGTGTTTCGCGAGAAACAAACGCATCAAGCCATCAAGGCCACAGAATAATCAAGGCGTTTTCTTCTTTTTTTCAGCTATATATAGCTGCCATGTTAGAATAATGTATGTTTTTAATATTTTATTCAACTGTTCTTTCTGTAAAACTATGATTAACATGACTAGATAATGATTAAATTATGAGCAAACTGAAATAATTTGTAGACAAATGAGTCTGATGACTATTTATATATTCTGCTATTTACGAAAAGATGATCTCTACTGGGAAATGTCAATAAAATGTTTATGGTCGGTCATATTTTTGACAGGTCGGTCGGAAACCTGAAACCAACTATTATTTTATTTGGCCTTACCCTTGCTGGAAATGTTTGTCATCTTATATACTGGAATGGCATATAATTTACTTATTGTTTACAAATTAAAGGTGGCTCAATACAGTTTTCAAAAATGCAGGTGATCAACACTTTGACATGTTCAAACTACACATTTTTAGGATTTATTCGGCAGATATTGGGTTTTTTATATATTTTGATAACTCTACTTTCAAATTATATTCGTTTTAGTAACAGATAGTCTGTTGCTATGATGACTTACGTGTATGAAATTTACTCCAAAATGGCCTATTGTCTTGTATGGTTGGAAAAGAAGCATGGTGACCCCCATTTTTTTTCTTGCATTATTTTACTTCGAGGAAAAGCTAACAATTAGCAAAATATAAAAAAGTCTGTAATGCCATTTTTTTGGAAAATGCGAAAATGTCATATTCTTCGGTAAATTTTTTTTGGCATTACAGAATTTTTTATTTTTTGTATAATGAAAGTTTTTAGCAGTGCAATACAGCATGCAAAATTTGAACATAGGTCATCAGACAAAATAAAGAGAATGTCTATAACGCATTGTTTTTCTAAAATGGAAAATTCTAATGACGTCAGCAATTGACATAAAACGCTATATAGACACGCGCAATGATGTGAGATGGCGCGAGCAACTGCTCAGGTCATGTTGGAAGTTCTTTCATTTTGTTAATCAGTTTCCGCGACCTGTGCATAAGAATGGTCACCCAGTTTTGAGTTCGCGATTCTTGAGCAGGGTTTTTGTGATAACTATATCAAGCCACCTTAAAGTATTTTCCAAGTCGAGATTGTCTTGTGCCAATATTGAAATCAATATCGTACATTTACACAAAGTTTTATGTTTAACTTACACAGGAAATTTTGATTTTTTGATTTTGCTGCCGGGAAGGGAAATATATTTTCTAGGCCTGGATAAGAATTTTACTTGACAACCATTTGTAGTGATGGATGATGATGAGTACTTGCTATTCCACACCCGCGTTACCACAAACAGCAGGATTAATATGCATTGATTACTGATGGGGTATTGCCTGATACTTGCACCATCAAAGTTCTGTATTCCTACAAAAAGCACACAAAAAATAGAATACAATCATATCAATGCACTTACTACTTGGTATAATTATCAGAAACATGAAACACTGTTTATGGGCTTGACCGGCCAACATTCTGAAATGTACACTCTGATGGCATTTTTTGTTACAAGCTGTCAACTGGTATTTTCTTATAGCTTACACATTGGTGAACAAGACTATATATGTTGGCACCTCTGATTTTGGCTTTATAGTTGAAAATTTCAGAATTTTAAAATTTTGCCTAATAAAGTTCTATGTTGACTAAAAATACAATATTTCAAGTTCATTTTTCACAAAAATAATCTATACCACTAGAGAGATCGCAGAAAAGTATATATAAGCCATTTAAGCGAGTAGTGCGAATTTTCAAGCAAATTTTGAGTTAAATGGGCTTAAAGTTGGCAAAATAGTAACTATCGGCATCAATTGGCGTTTTTTTTTTAATTTTCAGTGTTAAAAGCACAAAATTGGCTACAAAAATCATACTACTCGCTTAAATGTCTTATATATACTTTTTTGCGAACTTTCTAATGGTATAATTTATTTTTGTTAAATGTGAACTTGTAATTTTGCATTTTTCTCATCATAGTACTTTTTATAGACAAAATTTTCAAATTCTCAAATTTTCATCTATAAAGCCAAAATTAGAGTTGCCAACAAGTCTAGTCTTGTTCGTTAATGCATATACTCTACGAAAATGTCAGTTGGCAGCTTGTAACAGAAAATGCCATCAAACAAATTTTGTTGCACATTTTCCGGTTTTGGCCGGCCGTCTACATGTGGTACACGTTGATTATCGCTACCTTTGGCAGGGCCAGTAAATGGCTGAGCTCGCTTACTCAACATAGGAGAAGACGGTTGTGCACGTAACCATATAGCTCCCAGTGAACACTTCCCCAAGACAAGGCTGAAGCAGGATTTTGTCTTAAAAAACGGAAGTTCTCATCCATCAATCAATCGATCAATCAAAATGTTTAATCAAGATACCTACGAGCTATATACAGGAGGTAGATCCTTGCAGGAGGATCGGAAGGTTAACCCTATATAAGAACCCCCTTGGAAAGGATTAGTAGATAAAAAGTGTTAATAGTATGTACATTAATGAGTGTATATTCGTAAACTAAGAAAGACATATTAGTAAATATTCATGTGGCGCTTGAGTTCCTGCTTAAAACTATGAAAACTATTCGCTTCAACGACGTTCAGAGGCAAAGCGTTCCATGCAGTGACTATTCTGACAAAAAAAGAATACTTATAAGAGTTAACTCTAGAAAGCTTGGTGTATAGTGAATATTTGTGATTTGCTCTGGTTTTCCTCGATTTCTTATATTCAAAAACTTCATCGAAGTTTATACCATTTAGGCCAAAAACTGTTTTATAGCACTTTATGAGAGATAAGTAGGCTACTCTCTGCGTTTTTCCAAAGTATTCCATTTTAGTAAGACACAACGATCTGGGTAGGACATCTCTCCCCGCTTTTGTTTAAGTGCTATCCGCGATGCTCTTCTCTGAACGGATTCGAGAGCCTTGATATCCTTGGATAAGTGTGGCGACCAGACTGGTCATAAAATTTCCAGTTGAAACCCCGTGACGCTAAGTCTTGGATTATTTCACAGTACTTCATCAACCCCGGGGATTCACTTGGAAATCTACGAGTGTAGACTCCTACAAATATATGAAATGCTTGGAGTCATTGATTAATATTGAAAATTTTTTGGCTCCGGTTAATTGGCTCGAGACAAATAGATGGGCCATTATTACCCTCTAAACTTTGAAAAGACAATTGGAACTTATTGTTCCCTTGATTAGAAATAAGGGTACTAAATTCCACATATTCACTATTCCAAATTTTGGCTTTTACGCTATCGTTCACTCTAGAATCTATTTCCAGGCTAGTTTTTGGAATAGATGGTGTATCACCATAACGTATACCTGCGATAGCTTCTTGGGACTGCACCACAGCTACTTCGACCAGGGAATCTATTGTAGGTTGGACTTCCTGCAAGATTTTGTGGTCTACTGGCTGCTGTAGAATGCTTGCATCTGGCGGATGTGGACTCGACGACCCTGGTAGGCTGACCGAAGTGGTTGGATTGGTACCCATGGAACTTCCAGATAGTCTCTGTGTCACAACATCAGCAACCTTTGTCACCAGCTGCTCAAGTAGATCTGGGGTCAGTGCTGTTGCTGCAGCTTCAACCACTTGTACTGGTATTTGGCTGGACGTTTTACAGCTGGGCGGTTCACAGTTGAAACAACGTCTGCTGCGCTTGGACCCGGATTCGAGGTGGATCGTGTTGCACGCCGAGGCATATTATACTATATGAAAGAAACATACATAACTTGGCAGCTATTTGACCTGAAAAGTTATATAAACCCCACACTGGCATCAAAAGTGTAAAGAAGCCAAATGATTATAATAAACCACACTGGCATGAAAAATATATAATATATAGCCAAAAGGTAACAAAGACCTCACTGGCACAATTGTAAACCTGCCAAATGATATAAGTTAGAGTTATAAACCCACACTGGCAGTAAAGGCCAACTTATAAACAGCCAAATGCTCATGTTAAATAGCATTAAATTACCGATGTAAATTAAAGTGAGCTGGACAATGCCAATGTCTCAATAAATTACTATATCTCCATGCTATAAATACAATGAACTTCGAGTCATTAAAATAAATTGCTTTTCAATTATACCTGTCTTTTCTTGTCATTTTTACATGGGTTGGTCCTACGCGGATATAAATCAAAACGGAAAAAACATGCGAATACGAAAAATTATACATTTTTGTACATAAACTAATCAATTTTTC